AGCCCAAATCTTGTTCATGCATCATATTAGGCAAATTAGACATTTGCAAATCAAGCTGTCTATTAGACATGTGCATTCGGATTCGGACAGAACACACAGCAGCCATATCGGATACATCAAGATAGCAGTGCCCATACATGCGGTTGGCGTCATGTGATGTCATGCGCTCTGCCTCCAAGATGGTGGCATGCATGTGCAGAACACACCGGTGGCCGCTACGGCTGCCGTGCGTTCTGCTGTTAAGGGCTTGTTTCCACCAGTCCATGCGCTGATCGTACTGTCCCGTGCCCGGAACATAAGGGATCACATACACAAAGTCTCCTTGCGTTCTGGGGTGGGAGGGGGCGTAGCAGTTCCATTAATGTCAATAGCACTGCAGACACGCCCCCCAGCCGCAGTGCGATTGGCCGCACAGGACCACGTGGTAAAACAATGGCCTGCTTTCCACTGCGGTACGATCGTTTTAACGCACGGGCTGGTGGAAATGAGCCATACATGTGTGGTTTTGGATTCTGAGGTTCGATGCCTCTGGATCTGAAGCAGCAGAGTTATTAGTTTCATCAAACAAAACTAATGACAATTGTTTTTATTTTTCATTCCTTTCGTCCCGAGCAAATTTTGATGCTGTGCACCTGTCTACTGTCTATGGCCACCGTTACATACTTTAGATCTTGCATGTTTCCTGACTGAGTCAATATCTGCTTTCCTTAAAACTGTTGGATTTGGTTGCAAAACAAATGAACATTTTGTGTATTTTTATTCTTAGATCTGTGTGTTATACATGTGTATATGTCTTCAGTATGTATCTCTAAAGCTGTCATCTCTCCTGCTGTACAGTATGTCACTTCTTCCTCGATGACTGAAGTTGTGGTTACTTAACCTTGTTGAAATGTTAACCTACTCTCTGAGATCGAATTGTGAGTCTTGTTATACAAGCTGTTGACATGGTGAGTGCATGTGCAAACAAATGGTTTGGAAATGTGAGTGGCATCATTTATATTTCACAACACGCAATTGGCTTGCTCTTTGGACCATCTTTAAAACATTAACCAATTCAAACATCCTATGGGACATAGCTATAGAGCGTCCTTTCTGATTAAAGGTGCCTTGGATGTGTTATGTGTTTTCAGTATCATCAGATTTTATTGTTGTGTTTTTTTCTACTCAGTTAAATCACCTGGTGACCGGACTTCTACAACTGTGAGCAGGTTATATCTAAAATTGTTTTGTTGCTCCAGTAGACATAGCCGCCATCTAGATAGACAATTAGGTGTTTTGCTCGGTGTATAGCACTAGTGCCCCTAGATGGCGCTGAAGAGTATAGGAATTCACGTAAGAGCGCTAATGTCGTGCAAACGCTATAGCCATATCCAATTATAAATTGACCCCTCAGTGTGTATGTACAGCCAAAAGGTTTGTTTTTGCTTTTCGAAACAAACAGAGAGTTGTAAGGGTTTCTGGAGGGGTGTAAATGACCGTCCAAGAGAGATATATAAAGAAAATATACAATTTATTACTATTAAATACTTAATTGGTTACATACATGATTCAATTGAACGTATTAAAAATCAAATCCCTGCAGAGGATACATCAATACATTGATTGTTTAACAACTCTAAAGATCATTTGATCCAAACTTCCAGATGTAATTTCATAATTTGTTCAAAGCATAGCTTAACTTAATAGGCCCCAACGCGTTTCGCCATAGGCTTCATCAGAGGACCATTCGGGATGGATCTATTAATAAGAAAAATGTTCTTCATTTATAGGTACATCGTATCTGACATTCATTGATGCATACATTACATTTATTTGTACTGTATACTCATATTCCTACATGAGACCCCAGATGGGTCAGTTACATACTAGATAGTTATTCTGAGAGCTCTTACTTACCATGCCGGGTTGTTTTTGCTTTTGATAGAGTATTAAGGGTTAAAACCCTTGCCAGTTTATTGTTTGTGTACCATTAGGGACATTTCTCCTCACTTCCTGTCCCAAAGACACAACAGGAACTTAGAAGAAGAGGTGATAAGTGAGGGGAATTGCCCTCTTAGACAGATGTCTCTGGAACAGGTGTCTCCATTGGAAGATTTCCCTTTTTTTCTTTTGTTCTGGGGACAACTCTATGTGGCTGCGGTGCCATTGACTTCAATGCACCACCACGCCCCTGAACGCAGGGAGCCGGCCGGCTTGCGTTCCAGCGGCCGAACGCTCTGGAACGCAGCCTGTGTGTGAACCGGCCTTATAGCTAAACTGGCTTGATAATGACTAAGGGCCCATTCACACCACACCCAAATCCATCTCCAGATTGTTTCCAGACCCAAAATGCATCCTAATGTATCCCTGTGCTATTTCTGGCCTTTGTTCACACCAGCGCAGTCCGTTCCAGACCAGACCAGAAAAATACTGTATGTCTCATTTTGCCTGGTCTGGAATGCACAGCAACGCATCAAAAATGCATGGAACGCACTGGAACTTACCTGGGAGCCCATTTTAAGCTAAAAAAAAAACAGCTCCAAAATCACAATGCACTGCATTCCAGATCTGCTCCAGGAAATGGTATGAACCCAGCCTCAGGCCAGAATGTCCCCCAGTTCCCTGCGCAGACATCTCAACTCTCCCGGAAGTTCTAGGAGTCTTCCGTTATAAGATAGCAGCTCCCGGACACCTGGGAGAGAAACATTTTATCCTGTGCAGGTTTACTCTGCTCTTTCTAGCAGAGTAAACCTTTCCCTGCTGTCTGTCTTTTTTTTTCTTTATTCTGAGATCAGGGCCGTCGACCGCCATCAGATTTAAAAAAAAAAAGACCGCATGGAAATGAATAGCTCGATTGCTATTGGCTATTTTAATTTGCCATAGCCAATAGCAGGCTGGCTATTGCACCCGCCCATTGCTGCTGTCAATCAGCAGAGGTGGACCTGAAGTTCTCCATCAGGTCCTCCTCTGCTGATTGATAGCAAGAGCTGTCAGAATACTAAAAAAAGAAAAAACAGCACATAGCAAGGGCAGCATTAGCTTCTCTGCGATCTGCCATCATTCTAGGGAGGTGGGGGGGAGAGGGCACCTCCCTGAAATGAATTATTTCAGGTTGGGATGCCTGCCAATGCTACTGGCCAGTAGTGATACTTTAGGCTAGCCAGCGTTGGGGCCCAGACTTCTGTTTATAAGCATGTGTAAAGTGTAGTAATTACAGGTGGCCATCAGCCTCTCGCCTCTCCTGTAGGACGCAGACTTTAGTGATGGCTTCCTTGCTGGCCAGAGAGAAGGGCATTTCCCCTCAAGCCGGCTACTCCTTGGATGCTCTGGTGAAATTCTGATGCTGCAGCCGCTGGTCTCTCTGGCAGCAAAAGTCGATCAGGCACATCGGTGTCCAGGCGGTCACAGGAGGTCTTTAAACATGTGCAGCAGCCAGGAGTCTGAGAGCAGATCTCCCTGCACCTACAGAAAAAGGGCTGAGCTCACAGTTCTCCCCTCAGACACTCAAGCCACCTGGAAACTATAGTTCAGTGGAACAGAGCTTCTCCCTGTAGTGGGACTGCAACTCCCACAAGTCCTTTCAGCTCCCAGCAGCAGCTGAACTAAGTTTGTGTTACAGCCAATCAAAGTCTCAAGCAACTAAACAGGGCTACACCTGTATTAAAATGGACCTTTTAAGCTGGGCACACACCTTACAACCATCGCAAGACATTTGTCTTGCGATGGTTGTAAGGTAATTAAAAAAACGTACGATCTACCTATCTTGGACAGGCAGCTCGTACTTGCGATGATCGCAAGCCTGCCCCGCTGAGGGGTGGGCTTCCGATGACCGCAATGCTAAACGGGCAGCGTGCGCTTGCGCACACTGGCCCGTGCGGCTTTTATCTTGCGAACATGCCGACAATCGTGCGATTCTCGGCGGGTTTTTGAACATGTCCATAAGATAAAAGTCGTGCGACCTTACAGTAGGAGAGGTTGCACACCTTACACACACCTTGCGATAATCGTACAATCGAGGGATTTCCTGCGATTATCGTACGATTATCGCAAGGTGTGTGGGCACCTTTACGCCCTTTGGCTAAAAATCACATCAGCATGCAGCTCTGATTGGTTGTCATGCACAGCTGCTCCAGATTCTGTCTGATCCAGTTCTGAAAAATCCCCAATACTGTCTACAATAAGTCTTTTCTGCTAAAGGGGGAATAGTGAGGGTGCACTTACTTTTTACACAGTATACCATTGCATCTATTGATATTTCTGTTGAATAAATGATTGAAAAGGCAAATTTTATTTTATTTTAATTATATTGCCTTTACCTGTAAGCACTGTTTGAATAAAGATCTAATGTTCTGCCTGTTCAAATACATTGATAAAGTCAACTGATTCCACGTGGTATGCTTGCATGCGTGTAGAAAACTGTGGGATTTCTGCTTGAATTGCTTTCTCATGTGGTAAAATACTTGAGTTTTGCAGCATGAAAACAAACAAGTGTGAATTGGCCCTCAGTGCAAAAAAAATGAAACTGCTTAATCTTGTTTGGTAGATTTTAATGTCAATCACGTATTGGATTTTTAGGTTTACCTGTCATGTATAAACTGCAATTACTGATAAAGTGTATGCAGTACCTGGCTTGCGTTCAAAGCAGTTCCTTTGTGTTCTGGGTGGGCCCTGTATCCTGGGCCCAGCCATTCATCTGTCAAACTCCAGAACCTCCACTAGATACAAAGATTCTGCAGTTGACAGTCCAATGACAGAGGACAGGGATCATCATCACAAGGGAGCAATCTCATATTATGTAATGTATGATTGCCTTGAACAAGAGGCATCATTCCCAATATCGGCTTTGCTAGATGGTGGCAAATATTTTTGCAATTCCAGAAACATTTCATACTATAAGGATAAATAATTTTGCACTGTCATCGCAGATAAGTGACGCCTGTTTCCTGGGATCTATGTCTCTTTATTATAACTTATAATTACTTGCAATGCATATTACCTCGATCTCTGTTTTTTTATTACAGTTATTGAAAAACTACCACAGGTGGAGGAAGGAATGTCCAGAGATTACTGCAGACCTGAAGCCATCTCCTCTCCTTAACTTGTACAACACTGGCTACCATGCAGTCCTAAGCTCAAGAGATGCATATGGCAGCAAAGTTCTCATTTACAGGATTGGTACATAACCTGCTTCCTCTTTTCTGCTCCTTAAGCCCCCTTATGTTAATAATATGTACTGTATATTCAATATTAGACATGTGCATTCGGATTCGAACAAACCTGCAAATCAACGAAATTCAGTTAATTCGGCGGTTTGTCCAAATCCAAAATAACACATTTATTATATGCCCGAATATACTAAAACTATATTTGGGCATACATAAATTCATTTGCAGAACATGCGGCGGCGGCTAGCGCATTGTGCACAGGCGCGCCGCCATCATTGAGTGTATCTTGGTATACACCAAGATGGCGACACCGCCATCATGGTGTATACCAATATACACTCAAAGATGGCGGCGCACAAGCGCAGAACGAGCCGCCGGCCGAGATGGCCACTCGTTCTGCATTCTCAGTGTGCGGTTTCGGAGGCTCGTTGCCTCCAAATCCGAAACAGCAGACAAATTTGTTTTCTTTGATGAAACGAATGGAAATGTTTTCCATTTCCATTCTTTTAGTCAGAAACCGATTTTGATGCCGTGCACATGTCTATTCAATATGATGTGTTAGGTCTAAGCTACAGTGGCTATCGATCGCTAGAAGTAGCGATCAATCACTAATTGTGTAAGCTTCCTTTTATCTTAATGGGGTTTGTACTTGACCTGTAGACTTCTCTCTTCTTTCCCAGGTAAACAGTAAGAATGCCAATTCATGCAGAATTTCATGTTTTGTGTGATAACTCATCTTAGGGCTCATGCATTCAGGCATCTGTAGATGCGGAGAAATACAGCTTAATTTACATTATATGGGTGCAGACACCTGTTTGCATGAACCCTAAAAATGTATGTCCAGCCAAATTCTTTTTTTTCCGTAGTTTTGGATAGAGTTTGAAATGACTAGAAACTCTGTAATGTTTTACTATCTAGGGCTCTTGTTAAAAAGATTTACTTATGTTTTTGTGTCCTTATTGCATTTTTTCCTCACTTCCTGTCTGGTGAAACCATTGTCACTACGACAGGAAGTGAGGGTAAATCTCTCGAACAAAGTCCTGGCTAGAAGTAAAAAGCTAAAAGGAGTTCTAATGCTTCCCTACGCTATGAAAAACTAGAGACTGTTTTTGGCTTAAAGTGTATTTCCACTCTTGCAGTCAAATTTGAGAACATATACGATATGTTCGTTATGTGTTCCTATTCACACAACATACCCCAAAAATAATAATAATAAAAAAATCTTTACCTTTTAGATGTTTTGTAGTAGCAGGCAACATGGCTGATTCCAAGTTTTTTCTCAGCACCTTCACAGTGATCTGACTGAAATTTGAGAATTGTGTTTCTCTCATTAACTTCGTTAACATTTGAATGCAGAAGCCGGGGTTGTAATCTTTTAACTCCTCAGCCGTCTCAGTCCCTCCTAACATTATAAAGAAGGAAAAACAAGTAGACATTTTAACCCTTAACAAGCCAAGAAACCCTAACCCAAGTAAAAACAATTTAAACTGCAAGAAGCATTTTTTTTTTAAGCTTATGCTACGTGAACGGGAACAAGTAACAAATATAAAATAGGTGTTATCTCAATTTGGCAGAAAACGTGGAAATACACTTTAACATGCACTTTAAATGTCCCCCTACCAACACACACACTTTTAGATAGTGTTTGGGTAGCTGGAGCTCCAACAACAAACAGATCATGGACCAATATTTGACTTCTCCTTTTTCTTAAAGGAGAACTATGGGGTTAAGGCTTTTGCCCATAGTTCTCCTTAGGGTAACGGGAGGACACAAACTAGTGTCCTCCCATCACCCTAGGCTCAGTATACCGCGAGCTGAAGCTCACGGTATACTGAGACGCCGCAGCTGAAGCAGATTCCGACAATTATGTCTGGATCCGCCCAGCTGCGTGACTGACAGCTGGCTCTGCCTATCTAGAGGCAGAGTCAGCTGTACCCGCCCCCTCCCCCGTCCGTTCCGCCAGTCAGCGCTGGCGAATCGGAGTGGGGAGGGGGGAATTTGCTTTAAAGATAACATTAAATTAGCCAGGATTGCATCATTTAATTAATAGATTAGTCTTGCTCTGACTTTGTTTATGGTTATCTTCCTGCACTGTGCACATCCTGTTGATTCTTCCTGTGGATGTGTGCATGTTCCAGCAGCAGCTAAGGCTGGCCATACACCTATCAATTATTTTCGTTCAAACCAGGGGCTGAACGAAAAAAATTTATGCGATTCTTCCATCAACACAAACAGCGCGTCGATCGAGGAATCGCCGCTGTTTACATTGTATTGGCACCTGTCAGAATACCCAATCAGAGGGCGCAGCTCATTGGCTGCCAGCTCTGATCGTACGAAGATTTTCCAGCCGGCTCCTTCGATCAGCCGATTGAGGAATGCCGGTTGAAAGGGAGCCGACAGCCCCACACACTGTGCGAATTTCGGCAGGTACATTAAAACCGTCCGAAATTCGTCCAGTGTATGGGCACCTTAAGTGTCAATTTGATTGCAGTGACTATGGTGGAACATGCCAGAGCACTGCGCATTGCTATGGCTGCTTGTAGTCCAACGTGGGAGCAGGCAAGGAAGGGAAGGGTGACAACACCACAACTGAATAGCAACACTTTTGGTTTTCTAGTTATAGATAGAGGCGGAAACTTTAGAACTTCTTTCACTTTTTTACTACTATCCGGGGCTCCGTTAGAGAGCTTTACTCTTACTTCTTATCCTGTTGACAACAGTTTTCCCAGACAGAAAGTGAGGAAAAATCTGCAACAGGGACATGGACAGAAATAACAATTGGGCATGGCGTTCTAGTCTTCCCTTACCCTAGTAAAGAAACCCATTTTATTTCTGTTCCGGTAGGAGACTTAGGCTGGCCATACAATGATATATTTTTTTTGTTCAAACCACAGACTGAATGGAAAAAAAAGACCTGATTTCTCCATCGACACTAACAGCGTGTCGATGGAGGAATCTCTCTGTTTACATACAGCGGATGCTGGCACCTGTCAGAATACCCAACCAGATCGAGCAGCTCATTGGCTGCTGACTCTGATCGAAGGGTTTCCAACCGCCTCCTTCGATCAGCTGATCGGGGGATGCCGATGGAAAGGGTGCTGACAGCCACACACACTGTGCAAATTTCGTCCGATTCCTCAAAAAACGGCCGAATTTTGAACGGAGTATGGGCACCTATACTTTACTTCCTGTCTAGATAATGTCAGCAGGGCAGGAAGTGAGGGTAAATCTATTTAATTGAGTCCCGATAGCAGTAAACACCTATTAGTAAAGTATCAGTTTTGGTGAGCGGACACATACGATTCTGCTAATCATTTACAGTGGATATTTTAAAGCACATCTGAGAAATATGAGGGCTGCCATTGGTGGCTCCTTATCAAAATGGGTGTTACAGATTGGGAACCAGCATTCAATAATGTAATGGCCACAGATAAAGGGTGGGATCTGGATTTTTTTTTCTACCTAAAGTAGTATAACTGCAAAATGAATTTATATTCTTGCCCATTTTTTTCCAGATAAGTGGGACACAAAGGAATTTACTGCATATGAAGTGTTTCGAGTAAGCTTGATCACCTCAGAGCTTTTAGCGAAGGATGCAGAGACACAACGGAATGGAATTAAGGCTATATTTGACCTGGAAGGATTCAGACTGGCCCATGCATTTCAAGTCACCCCAACTTTGGCCAGAAGAATTGCTGCAGTTATGACAGTAAGTTAACCTGTTTACAACTGTGATGTGTAGAAGGATTTCTGGCCACTATGTTCCTTGTGCTGGGAGGGCAATAAAGAGTAGTAGTTGTTATAAAAGATCCCCTACAAATGGCAGCAGCTTGTAGAAGCAGTCCATATACTGCCAATGTAGGGAAGCAGCCTGTATATACTGCCATTGTGCAGAGGCAGCCTGTATATACTGCCATTGTGTGGAGGCAGCCTTTATATACTGCCAGTGTGTGGAGGCAGCCTGTCTATACTGCCAGTGTGTGGAGGCAGCCTGTCTATACTGCCAGTGTGTGGAGGCAGCCTGTCTATACTGCCAGTGTGTGGAGGCAGCCTGTCTATACTGCCAGTGTGTGGAGGCAGCCTGTCTATACTGCCAGTGTGTGGAGGCAGCCTGTCTATACTGCCAGTGTGTGGAGGCAGCCTGTCTATACTGCCAGTGTGTGGAGGCAGCCTGTCTATACTGCCAGTGTGTGGAGGCAGCCTGTCTATACTGCCAGTGTGTGGAGGCAGCCTGTCTATACTGCCAGTGTGTGGAGGCAGCCTGTCTATACTGCCAGTGTGTGGAGGCAGCCTGTCTATACTGCCAGTGTGTGGAGGCAGCCTGTCTATACTGCCAGTGTGTGGAGGCAGCCTGTCTATACTGCCAGTGTGTGGAGGCAGCCTGTCTATACTGCCAGTGTGTGGAGGCAGCCTGTCTATACTGCCAGTGTGTGGAGGCAGCCTGTCTATACTGCCAGTGTGTGGAGGCAGCCTGTCTATACTGCCAGTGTGTGGAGGCAGCCTGTCTATACTGCCAGTGTGTGGAGGCAGCCTGTCTATACTGCCAGTGTGTGGAGGCAGCCTGTCTATACTGCCAGTGTGTGGAGGCAGCCTGTCTATACTGCCAGTGTGTGGAGGCAGCCTGTCTATACTGCCAGTGTGTGGAGGCAGCCTGTCTATACTGCCAGTGTGTGGAGGCAGCCTGTCTATACTGCCAGTGTGTGGAGGCAGCCTGTCTATACTGCCAGTGTGTGGAGGCAGCCTGTCTATACTGCCAGTGTGTGGAGGCAGCCTGTCTATACTGCCAGTGTGTGGAGGCAGCCTGTCTATACTGCCAGTGTGTGGAGGCAGCCTGTCTATACTGCCAGTGTGTGGAGGCAGCCTGTCTATACTGCCAGTGTGTGGAGGCAGCCTGTCTATACTGCCAGTGTGTGGAGGCAGCCTGTCTATACTGCCAGTGTGTGGAGGCAGCCTGTCTATACTGCCAGTGTGTGGAGGCAGCCTGTCTATACTGCCAGTGTGTGGAGGCAGCCTGTCTATACTGCCAGTGTGTGGAGGCAGCCTGTCTATACTGCCAGTGTGTGGAGGCAGCCTGTCTATACTGCCAGTGTGTGGAGGCAGCCTGTCTATACTGCCAGTGTGTGGAGGCAGCCTGTCTATACTGCCAGTGTGTGGAGGCAGCCTGTCTATACTGCCAGTGTGTGGAGGCAGCCTGTCTATACTGCCAGTGTGTGGAGGCAGCCTGTCTATACTGCCAGTGTGTGGAGGCAGCCTGTCTATACTGCCAGTGTGTGGAGGCAGCCTGTCTATACTGCCAGTGTGTGGAGGCAGCCTGTCTATACTGCCAGTGTGTGGAGGCAGCCTGTCTATACTGCCAGTGTGTGGAGGCAGCCTGTCTATACTGCCAGTGTGTGGAGGCAGCCTGTCTATACTGCCAGTGTGTGGAGGCAGCCTGTCTATACTGCCAGTGTGTGGAGGCAGCCTGTCTATACTGCCAGTGTGTGGAGGCAGCCTGTCTATACTGCCAGTGTGTGGAGGCAGCCTGTCTATACTGCCAGTGTGTGGAGGCAGCCTGTCTATACTGCCAGTGTGTGGAGGCAGCCTGTCTATACTGCCAGTGTGTGGAGGCAGCCTGTCTATACTGCCAGTGTGTGGAGGCAGCCTGTCTATACTGCCAGTGTGTGGAGGCAGCCTGTCTATACTGCCAGTGTGTGGAGGCAGCCTGTCTATACTGCCAGTGTGTGGAGGCAGCCTGTCTATACTGCCAGTGTGTGGAGGCAGCCTGTCTATACTGCCAGTGTGTGGAGGCAGCCTGTCTATACTGCCAGTGTGTGGAGGCAGCCTGTCTATACTGCCAGTGTGTGGAGGCAGCCTGTCTATACTGCCAGTGTGTGGAGGCAGCCTGTCTATACTGCCAGTGTGTGGAGGCAGCCTGTCTATACTGCCAGTGTGTGGAGGCAGCCTGTCTATACTGCCAGTGTGTGGAGGCAGCCTGTCTATACTGCCAGTGTGTGGAGGCAGCCTGTCTATACTGCCAGTGTGTGGAGGCAGCCTGTCTATACTGCCAGTGTGTGGAGGCAGCCTGTCTATACTGCCAGTGTGTGGAGGCAGCCTGTCTATACTGCCAGTGTGTGGAGGCAGCCTGTCTATACTGCCAGTGTGTGGAGGCAGCCTGTCTATACTGCCAGTGTGTGGAGGCAGCCTGTCTATACTGCCAGTGTGTGGAGGCAGCCTGTCTATACTGCCAGTGTGTGGAGGCAGCCTGTCTATACTGCCAGTGTGTGGAGGCAGCCTGTCTATACTGCCAGTGTGTGGAGGCAGCCTGTCTATACTGCCAGTGTGTGGAGGCAGCCTGTCTATACTGCCAGTGTGTGGAGGCAGCCTGTCTATACTGCCAGTGTGTGGAGGCAGCCTGTCTATACTGCCAGTGTGTGGAGGCAGCCTGTCTATACTGCCAGTGTGTGGAGGCAGCCTGTCTATACTGCCAGTGTGTGGAGGCAGCCTGTCTATACTGCCAGTGTGTGGAGGCAGCCTGTCTATACTGCCAGTGTGTGGAGGCAGCCTGTCTATACTGCCAGTGTGTGGAGGCAGCCTGTCTATACTGCCAGTGTGTGGAGGCAGCCTGTCTATACTGCCAGTGTGTGGAGGCAGCCTGTCTATACTGCCAGTGTGTGGAGGCAGCCTGTCTATACTGCCAGTGTGTGGAGGCAGCCTGTCTATACTGCCAGTGTGTGGAGGCAGCCTGTCTATACTGCCAGTGTGTGGAGGCAGCCTGTATATAATGCCAGTGTGTGGAGGCAGCCTGTATATACTGCCATTGTGCGGAGGCAGCCTGTATATAATACCAGTGTGCGGAGGCAGCCTGTATATACTGCTAGTGTATGGAGGCAGCCTGTATATACTGCCAGTGTGTGGAGGCAGCCTGTATATAATACCAGTGTGTGGAGTCAGCCTGTATATACTGCCAGTGTGTGGAGGCAGCCTGTATATAATACCAGTGTGTGGAGTCAGCCTGTATATACTGCCAGTGTGTGGAGGCAGCCTGTATATACTGCCAGTGTGTGGAGGCAGCCTGTATATAATACCAGTGTGTGGAGGCAGCCTGTATATACTGCCTTCTCTACAGTCCTATTTGGGGGAGCCAGCCTGTATATACTGCCATTGTGTGGAGGCAGCCTGTATATACTGCCAGTGTGTGGAGGCAGCCTGTATATACTGCCAGTGTGTGGAGGCAGCCTGTATATAATACCAGTGTGTGGAGGCAGCCTGTATATAATACCAGTGTGTGGAGTCAGCCTGTATATACTGCCAGTGTGTGGAGGCAGCCTGTATATAATACCAGTGTGTGGAGGCAGCCTGTATATACTGCCAGTGTGTGGAGGCAGCCTGTATATACTGCCAGTGTGTGGAGGCAGCCTGTATATAATACCAGTGTGTGGAGTCAGCCTGTATATACTGCCAGTGTGTGGAGGCAGCCTGTATATACTGCCAGTGTGTGGACTGTCAAATTTTCAAACACTCTTCGAATTCAAGTCTCCAAAATGTAACAATTCATAAATTACCCACTAGAGGGAGTTCTGTGTATGATTCAAGCTCCTTGCTTGGCAAAGGTTGAGATAACATATCAGCCATACTCAAGCAGTGCAATTATTTCATAGACTTGCGTTGTGGGAGAGCAGTAAAGCACAGCCATTGTGTTACACAAAGCATGAAGCATAATATGAATTTAAACATTTGCAAGTTTGACTGACTATGTTTACTTACATTTTTTATAACTGTACATAGTAACAAGTCATCATTACCAAGTCAAGTAAATCATTACATTTTATGTCCAGCTAAAACACTTTTCTCTGGCATTGGATAGTGTGGGGAAGGATAGGAACCCCTGGTGGGTCTTTACTGCTATGTGGGGTTCCAGCTGCACACTGGATAGCAGTAAAATCCCAGCAGGGGCTCTTAACTCTTCCCCACATTGTACAAAGCTAAAGATAAAACGTTTTGGCTTTAACTTGCATCAAGGTGAGTTCTTTTGTACATACCGTATAACTAAATATCATAAAAAAATATTTTAAATTCTCTTTAAAGTCTTTATTAGAAATATCTGTGCTCTATTCTGCACACTGTCAGCAGCGGGACTGTTGTTTAAAGGAGAACTATGAGGCGAGTGCTTTTCACTCTTCCTCATAGTTCTAGCCGACCTGTGACAATGAGACTGTCACAAGTCGGCTCAGTAGATCGGGAAGTGAGCGAACACATACCGGCGTTCGCTCACTCCTCGATCCTGTCACAGCTCTCTGCCGTGACAGGGGAGTGGCTGGATTCCCTGCTCTGATCCACCAGCGCTGACTGGCGGATCGGACGGGGGAGGGGGCGGGTACAGCTGGCTCTGCCTCTAGATGGGCAGAGCCAGCTGTCACTCACGCAGCTGGGCGGATCCAGACATAATTGTCGGGATCCGCTTCAGCTGCGGCGTCTCAGTATACCGCGAGCAGTAGCTTGCGGTGTACTGTGGCGTCTCCATATACCGCAAGCTTAGCTCGCGGTATACTGAGCCTAGGGTGACGGGAGGACGCTAGTTTGTGTCCTCCCGTTACCCTAAGGAGAACTATGGGGAAAAGCTTTAACCCCATAGTTCTCCTTTTAAGCCTCAGATGTTGTAATTGGAAACAATCAAAGTACCTCCAGAACATGTAGCACTCACCTCCTTAGGAGCTGCTGGTTTTTTTGGGCCCTCCTAGCCATTCTACTTGATTTGGCCTACAGTTGCCCCCAAGCGCCCCTCGACCCACTAGCAGCAGACATCTACTCTGCTAATCTTCTTTTGCACAATTTATTGGCTCATACCTCTTGGGGATAGAGAGTTGGGGGTGCAGGATATCCAAAAACAGCAGCCAGAAAATACCTTCCTTCATTGGATTCTTGTAGTATTCTCTGACGTCTGCTACAGGCCACACCGTGTGCAGGTATCTATACGGGAGGACCAAATACTCGACCACACCAAACAAGGCTATGAACTTAGTTTATTAGACATACAAAATCATATAAACGCAAGCAACATAAACCAGCCAAACTAAATGTAAACAGAATAACACACGGAGTACAACAGGGCAAGTTAACCAGGGGAGCAGGGCCACAGGAGGGGAGCCACAGATCAAGAGACCTCAGGGAGAAAGGAGTCAGGGTCCAAGGAGGCAACAGGGCTCGGGCAACAGGACACAGGGCTCGGGCAACAGAATACAGGTTTGGGCAGGGGTAGCCAAACTCCGGCCTTCCAGCTGTGGTGGAACTACAAATCCCATGAGGCATTGCACGATTCTCAGACATGACTCCCGGAGAGATGCATCATGGGATTTGTAGTTTCACCACAGCTGGAGGGCCGGAGTTTGGCTACCCCTGGGTTAGGGCGACAATACTGTGGCAAAATCCCCACTGCAGGGAGAGATTAAATACCCTCCAAGGTAACACCAGGTGGTGATTAATTGCAGAGACACCTGCAAGTGGGCCCTGGAGCTGCAGGTCCTGGTTCCAGCGTCACAGTGCCACCTGGGGGTGCTCAAGTCCCAGACAGCCACTGACTGCCCAGAGACACCTGCAGGTGAGCACTGGAACTGCAGGATCTGCTCCAGCTCCACAGTGCCACCTGGAGGTGTTCTGGTCCCTGAGACTCAGGCTACTGTAGGTAGGCTAGACAGACAGCTACCTTTTTAAATATATTCAGCCTCTCACAGGCTAGTAGTGGACCTTTAAACTAAAGCTGGCATACACCTATAGATTATCTGCAGATTTTCTATGGTCAGATAGAAAAAGTGCAACAGATTCCTCCATCTACATAAAACTGTGTGGATAAGGGATCTCCCACTGGGCCAAGCTTCAGTATTTTGCTAGTCGGCCCCGCTGACTCTCAAAATACCTAAACAATGCCTGCTTCCAATCAGATTGTTCAGTTGTTTTGAGAGCCAGCGGGGCCGACTAGCAAGATACTGAAACTTGGTTTAGCGTAGATGGAGGAATCTGTTGCACTTTTTCCATTTGACCATAGAAAATCTGCAGATAATCTATAGGTGTATGGCCAGCTTTAGACTGGCAAATGACTAAGCAGAATACCTTATGGAACTGAGAAATTAGGTCTCCATACAAATGTTCTCTGGCAGCAGCTTCTATTAAGTTTTCCTGGACACTGTTCAGTATAGCAAACTCCTCAAAAGATGCTTCCTCCGGGTAGCCACCTTCCTGTTTCTCCTATTCCAGCTTTCTCCCCCAGGGAAAGGACAGAGGAGGCACAGGCCTCTCCCCAGAGGTACTCCCTCCCCAGGAAGCAGCCCTGAGAGGCAAAGACAGGACCTTTCTATACACGTATCCTCTGGAAGGCAAGGAAAATGATCCCTCACACTCACATCCTCTCCAGGCAAAGGGCCCTTCTAGAAGGTCTCCCAAAAATATATATCCCCTTCCCAGCACACATGACTTAAATAAACCTTTCAGTGCATACATATTTGAGCCAAAGCAAACCATGTCCCTGGGCATAAAGAAAACCCAGCAAGCCTAGATGGCAATAACAGCTGGCTACATCTTAGCCGCAAACACTGAATTTGATGCACACGCCATCTTAAGGCAGGGTTCCTACATATGAAAACCATGAGATCCAGTCATGGTTATTTTATTAACAAACTTTGACCACTCAAATGCACCACTCTTGCTCTCTGCCTTTACAGTACTCTATCCCATTTTCCACATCTCACTATTGCTTAGGACATTCATCATAGTTATGGACCAGTAGTGACGTGTGGGTACGGCCAAGCCTGATTTTGGGATTCCCAAGTAGATTTGCGTGTTATGTAAAATCATTTTACTTGCTATAAGCTGACTATAGGTTTGCTATTTAGGGCAACCCTATTGCCTAACTGAGAGTGCCTTTAAAACCCATTACCTGTAAGAAAAAAAAGTGAATACATACATCTCCTGCTGCCTGTGCCATCTAACACTTATAAAAAGAAGTTGCCAGCTAAAGTCTAGTTCAGAAACCAACAGTTCTGGGAGTGTGGCTCTCCTGGGCCTCCGGTGCATTCCCCTGCTGATCCCACATCACTGCTGTGTTCTGTAGTGCGGTAGGGGTCAGTGATTTATCCTGAGCTGCCACCCTCCCCATAATGAGCATGTTTTTAAGGGCTATAATAACATGTATGCTATTCAGCATGCCTGGTGACTTACAACCTTGCTTCCAAATCTAACTTATCGAACCAGTGAAATTGTGTAATTTCTCCTTTCTGATTATTCTCAGAGAGGTGAGGTGACCAGCTAGGTACAATTTTTTTTCCCCTTTGATCGCTGTTGTTCTGGTTATTCCTTCTCGTCCCTCTCCCAGGGATGTCTGGATTGCATGTTTATGTTATAGTTTAAAGCAAAAACATCTTTTGGTGGTCTATGGCAAATTGCAAAGGTACACATATGGTGGTCCATCTGTGTTTATTATTTATTTATTATTATTTAATTATTAAGAGGATTTTTTTTGCTTTTAGGACTCTTTCCCTCTTAAAGTTCGTGGAATACACCTAATAAATGAGCCTTTATTCTTCCACCCAGTATATGCCTTAATCAGGCCATTTCTACCTGACAAGATCAAGGAACGGGTGAGTGCCCTAAAGTATACTGTATGTATCCATGGTATGATACCAAAATCCAGTGCATCTACACATAGCATAAGGAAACAATATTTACTTTTAAATTCTACCTCCACCTTTGTTGCACAATTCATGCTGTAAAGCGAGGCACAAAAATAGTTAAATTTGTAAACTGTATTTATTATCTAGTTTTTGTTAGTGTACCTTTGCTGAAATATTAACACCCATTCGGGAGCCAGGAAGATAAGTGTTGTGTAAGCTCTGAGTTGATCCCATGCAAAGCTTACCCTGGACTGAGGACTCTACCTGCTCCATTGTGGCATTGGGCCAATATACAGAGCCAGTGCTGTCACATGAGATGAAGGGAAGAGAGTTGCACGATCTGTATATCCAGAGGTATCCGTCTTCTGACAGGAAGTACAGTAGATCTATAGGGGGACAAAGGGAAAATGAGCTTAAGCTGCACTGTACAGCTTTTTAAATTATTAAAGGAGAAGTGTGGGGAGAGCAAAATATACTCTTCCCCGCTGCTGGGAGGGGGACACTGTAGCTGTCACACACCGGCTCTAACACCAAGAGCTGAGTGAACCTGTAACAGCTGATTGGTCAGTTCTTGGTCATATCTGCCAGCGTAAAGCAGTGACCATCAGTCTCCGCTCTATGCAGTGATTCCCCCCTCCCCTTTCTGTTCCACCAGCGTTCACTGGAGCTCTCTATACTAGAGGAACTCTTTTGCTTATGAATGTGAACTCAGAATACCAGGTTTAGCAAATCGTGAAACATATATAAAACTAGGAGGCACATTGAGAAGTATGTACAGTATGAACATGGCAAAGGGGACTTGAGATAAGCAAATCCAGACATGGTGTCATTTGGTACAAACACCCACATTGTTGAGGGTACAGTGTAAACACAAGTTGAGATTATTTACAGTTATCTATAGAATGTTGACTTGCCCTAATTTGGCAAGGTGACAGTGTCTCTTTTATGGGTCCGAACTCATGTGCGCTTTTATTCACATCTTACTTTTTTATGGAGTTATTTTGCTATGGACACGTGACGTATAGCTTTAGGAAAAATTAAGGTTAATGCTGCTATAGCTGTTTTTGAGTCAACAAACGAGCATTAAAATGAAGGCCTGCTATAGAAGGGCAGATGTCTTTCCAAGAACAGATGGGAAGAAATCTGTCCACCATTTGTAGAAGGACATGTTGCTCTTGTTTCTCATGATTCATATAATACACATGCAATAACACTGCAGTGAGAAGAGAAGAGGATGGAAAGTTGGAAATTCTCTGTATGAGATGAAGATCATGTCCAACATCAGAATTGCGTTCTATCACCCTTTGGGCTTCACCAAGAGGTTAGATGTACATTCAGCATTCTGCGCGTTTTTATTCAATACAGCAGTGCACAATCTTAGTACATTGCACTTACTGTACATTGTCCCAAAATTAATGTCAGTGTATAGACTACTACATATAAGAAAGCATTTCACAACTGTCGCTATATATGTTTTCTAATATAGCAGGCACAATCATGAGTGTTTTCTACGTGGTCAGAGCTTAGTGTCTTGTACTTTTGCTTTGGGGTACTGCCAGGGGTGTATCTACTGCAAGGCAAACTAGGCATTTGCCTAGGGCGGCACTTTCCAGGGGGGCGCCAAAAAATTCTGCCCCCAAACCAGTTAGTTGAGAGAAAAAAAAAATTATATTCTAAATTATTCATGAATTACTGCCACTACTCCTGGACCTGGTGCTTCTTTGACTGGGGATCAACGTGTCCAGCTATACCGCCTACTCCTACATGTATGCTGCAGCTCCATAAACTCCATTCAGAGTTATGTCTCTAGAGCTACAGAGCCCAGCGGCCAAGGCAGAAGATGGGTAACTGCAGAATTAGAGGGCCCAGCATATTAAGGCAGAAGATCGGTGTTGCAGCTGCAGAACTAGGGAGCCCATCAAGCCAGGAATAGAGAAGGTGGCTATTGCAAAGGTAGAACTAGAGCATCCCGCTACGTTGATAGCGCAACCTGTCAGAATCTAGATACACCGTGCGCGCTGTATCCCACAACTGACAGGTTATGCAAAATGTCTTAAACCGGAAGGGGTGGGGCTAATTTAGATTAGGGATTGGGGGGGGGGTGCTCGGGTTTAGTCTTGCCTAGGGCAGCACAAAACCAAGATACACCACTGGGTACTGGGGTACTGGAGTCCCTGGGTTCAATTTCTACAATGTTCACCAAGATATCGCATTGCACACCTGACTTGTAATCTCTTTGGTAGGTGCTGCAATGACCAGTGGATGGCACCGAATGCATTCAAATTAGAAAGTGAGTCATCAGCATATTGTCGTCATCATCATCAAAACGCCTTTACTGACGTTAAGCACACAGAAAAAAAGTGAGGTTTCCAGACCACGCCGGGTTCCTTCATCATGCATTGTGACATTGTCTAAAAAAGGGACCATGCATTATCTCGAAACATCACTTTTTTCTGTGATATCATGATTGCTTAACATCAGCAAAGGCATTTTGATGATAAGGATGACGTGCTGGTGACTCACTTTCTACTCAGATTCTACAAAGGACAATATGTACATAGAGCTTGTTCTCATACATAGGTGACCTGGTTTCCACCCCAAAAGCATACTTGTGGGTTAGCTGGCTTCTGCCAAAAACGTATTTGTGTCTGTACATTTGCCAGGGACGTCAATAGACTATGCACATCTCTGTAACAGGAACTGATATGAAAGGTTTTGTATGTATTGTTAAACATCATGCTGCATCATCATGTCTCTTTTTAAAGAGAAAAAACCCAGTTGTCATAAATATAAATCAAACACTGTAACAGACCACATCATTGTAAATGCTCACCAGCCTACAAGGAGCCAGCACTGGTTAGGAGATCGCATGACCACTCTTTTTTTGTTCTTTTGTTTCAGATTCATATGCATGGAAGCTACTACGTACCAACTCTTCACCAGCACTTTTCCGAGGATATCCTACCTCCAGAATATGGTGGAACAGGACCCCCAATGATGGAAGTCTGCAAAGAATGGACCGATTACATCATGAATTCTGAAGATTACCTGCTCAGTATATCGGAAAACGTATAACTCTGGATATTGCACTGTGCATATGGCAGTCCCTGTGGGAAAATAAGCTAGTTATATATTTACTGTGATTAGTAATATTCATTTGGCTTTAATTAAAAGCTGTGCTTATGGAATGGTAAGAGAATATGGTATAACAGCAGATGATTTAACAGAGCTTGTTATATAGCTCTGTAACATGGATGTATATTCAGGATTACTGGATGAACATTAAGGATAACACCCAAATAATCACAAATATTCATATTCCTTATGTGCTACATACAGTAAGCAGTATATTGGCACATTAAGAAATAAATATTTTGTGCCTTTTGGGGTTTTCTTCATTCTGAATAACACACAGACATGCATGCATGTATTGTGTCTATGCTGAGTGTATTTCCTGCCTCTCCACAATCCCTTTCAGCCTCACTGACAGCGAATGTAGTTCCAAAAAGGGTCAGGGGTTGTAGAAGTGGTGCTGACCATACAACTCCAGTATAGTGGAGGTTAATTGTTTGGTTAGAGAGCAGGACTTTTATGTACTTTTATGAAAGTTTGGGTTTTATGCTATTACTGTATACTTTTTACCTTGGCTTAAAGTGACACTAAACTCAGGAATTAAATCTTAAAAATGCATTCAAGTACTTAAACTATTAGCATAAATAGAGCTTATTTGTGTATCACTCAGCTGTATATCCTAAAATCATCTATGAATTTATGTATGTGAAGGCTCTCATTCATCCAGGTCATGGTACATCTGTAAAAAATAATTCAAGGCAACTGGACTTGCTGTCTTTTCTTTGAAGACCTTTTGCTGGTCATCCGACTTGCTTTCTCAATCCTGAAAAAGAGAAAGCTAGTCGGAAGACCAGCGAAACGTCTTCAAGAAAAATACAGCAAGTCCAGTTGCTTTTAATAATTTTTTACAGATATCTCTGAACTCATGCTGACACTGTCCTTCCTTCTGGAGGGTGGCTACTTTTGATCCCCGTGTGTTGTAAAGTAGCTACCGCTCCAGGATCACTCCCATGAAAGACTATAATTTCAATACAATTTAGCTAACTAAATGTGGATTAGGGGGGTGAGCTTGGACCATGGGAAACAAAAGTAGCCACCCTCCAGAAGGAAGGACAGTGTCCGCACCAATTCAAAGATGATTTGAGGAGCTACAGCCGAGTGATACACTAATAGTTAAGGTACTTGAAAGCATTTTTAAGTGTTAACTCCTGAGTTTAATGTCACTATAATGCAATTTCTTAAAACATAACCTTCTGATATTCTTTAGGGCAGTTGCCCAGATGTTGTTCAGTTATTCAGAACCACACTTGATGGATGATAGACATTCAGGCCTAGTTTACATCTGAGCGTTCCATTAATTTCTAATGGCACCCCAAACGCGGCCCACAAATCGTGCGGTTTTCTGCTGCATTTCCGTATGTGCAAATGCAGCAGGAAAAACCTGCGTCCTGCACGTTGAGCAAAAGGGTGCAGGAGGCTTTTTCCGTGATTGCCTCGCTGATGTGACCCCATTGAAATCAATGGGGCCACATGGCGAACGAATGGGCGTCCCAGGAACATGCAGATGTGAACCAGGCCTTAAAGCCTGTGTGTACCTTTTATAAAAGAAAGTATACATTTCAGAAGACTGCTTATTGGAATTTATTATTTGCACTGCTGTAGCTGAAGAGGAACTTTAGTTACTGTAGTGTACTACATGACCATACAATTTACTACATTCCTGAATTATTTAAATCGTTGAACATTTATAGTGCGTTGAATGGAATTGTATTGATAAGTTGTAATTTTTTATACAAGATCATATGTCTATTTTGTGGTTTAATGATTTATTATACAAATTGGTTGTTTTATTTCCTGTTTACATAGCAGTCATCCTACTGTAGTTTTTCCTTTGAAGAGATTCGGTCACCAGCTTAAAAAACACAGATAAAAGGGCAGAAAAATGAAATATTCACGTGCTTACTTGAAGTGTTTTTGCTTTCCAAAAATGATTATTTATTAACTTGCAAAGTGCCTTTCAACGTACAGTAAACTTCAGTGTAGTGAAATTATTGCGATATACAATCATTTTCTATCTTGTGTATTATACACAGACATTACCTTCATGTGCATTTTGTTTCCATGTGGTATATGACCCTCTAGTGGGCAAATGTTGTTAGTTCAGATGACTTTTATTTACTTTCATCTGTTCATTGTGTCAGGTTCCACATTCATTAATGTTTTACATAAACGGGTAATGCATTAGAAATTTGCAGTTGTAAGCCAGAATTCATGAAGTTTACAATCTGAATATTGATCTCTAAGTGCCTCTACCATTGTTCATTACATTTAAAGGTGTGCACAGAGAATTTGCATATCAATCAAATGTAATATAAAGTATTCAAATATTTTTTATTACTTGGGGCGAGGGCTTGAGGCCCAAAAACATGCAAGTTTTACTAATCGAAAAATCTCTAATTGGTGCAATCTATGGGATGATTCTTGTGCTTAATAACTGAATGCTAAGGAAGAGCTAGACTTTTCTTAAGCTGATTGGTGCAATCTATGGGATGATTCTTGTGCTTAATAACTGAATGCTAAGGAAGAGCTAGACTTTTCTTAAGCTGATTGGTGCAATCTATGGGATGATTCTTGTGCTTAATAACTGAATGCTAAGGAAGAGCTAGACTTTTCTTAAGCTGAGCACATTGTGAAGATTTTATAATCAGTTCCTTGTGTGCATAGGTATTTTTACCAGTGAATTTTTGTATGCCTTCCATGTATTTTATAGACAGACAGGACATTGACACAAAGAAACATGGGAGAAGTTCTGCACACATCCCTCCAAAAACCAAAGGTACACTACAGTTGTAGCAAAATATAAAGCATTTAAAAGCATGCAAAGGACAAGGTCTACCTGGACTGTATTTGCATTTTTCCTCCAGGCATGGAGAGCAGCAGGTAACTACAGTCTGTTTGTTGGTAATTTGATGTTCTGAGAACCCCTGCTTCTGATGGAGGAGTGAAATTCCCAAACACACCCACTGCAGGCTTCTTGCTGTTTCTCCCTTCTGCAAAATGCCAACACTAAAAGCCATGGAAGTTTGAATATGTAGAGGGGGATGAAGTTACACAGCACGGGTTTTAATAAGTTCTCTCCCACTGATTCGGTGAGGTGCGCTCTGACATTTCTTCCTGCAGTGAATGAAATAGAACTCAGATAAACCACTTCAGCCCTCACATCTGTATACCCCCTATGGACCAGAGCAGTTTTCACATTGCTGCTATGGACCTGTTTATTTAGCAATAATTTGTCATTTACTTGAAATACTTATGTATATTTTTTTTAGGACAAACAAGGCTTATTTTGGTGATATTGTTGAGTAAAAATAATTTTTAGGCAATTCATAGAAAAACATAAATAAAATGCACAATTCTTGATCAGTGTTAGTTTGACAAAACTTATTGTTACTGTATAGTATATATTTTATCCTATTATTTGTCCTGTTTTAAAATGACACTAAACGTATGATTCTAGTACAAATAATAGCATGATTATTTGCAAATGAAGTAAATGCTTTTATTTTTCAATTTTATACTTTTTGTAATGTATAACGCATTTTTTTTTATCAAATCAAAAAAAAAATTAAAAAAAAGTGTTAATGGTTAGAAAAACAGCAAAAAAAAAAAAAATCAACAGTAAAATAATGGTTAAGGGAAAGAAGGAAATTAGGGCTGATATAGGTTAAACTAAAGTTTATTAAGGTTAAATAGGAACAATTTTTCAAATAAAAAAAAAAAAAATATCTGTCAGATTGCTTTAACTGACATCATATGCAGATCAAAGCAGATCGCTCAATCTCATGTCTAAGGCTAGGCGACACCTCACCTCGGATTGCCGCGGGGTCAGGAGTCGCCAAGGTGTGAACTGATCGCGATGTGGGTGCCTAAAACAGCTGCGCATTGTTTATCGCAAAAAAAAGGGACATGTACCTTTTTTTAGCGATAGCTGTGCGGATGTCACCCCATTGAAATCAATGGGGCTGCGCGGCAATTGCTGCCTGCATTGTCATCATGCGAGTCCCGGGTGTCGTGCGGTGTAGTGCAGGTGTGAACCTAGCCTAAAAAGTGTTTAAAAACTCTGTGTCAGACGATTTGTTCTTTTTAAAAAAAAAATTGTATTACAGCTATTTACACTAAACTCCTGCTGTCATTTTAACAGCTAGGAGTTGCCAACAAGTGCAGGGGAGGGGAGCCGCAATGGGACAGATGGGCACGGTATACCACACAGGCCTGGTGTACTTTGATAAAGTATTATTTGTAACATGCCCAGTGTCCACAACTAGTTATAATGACAATAAACTCAGGAGTTAAATCTTAAAAATGCATTCAAGTACATGAACTATTAATAAAAATGCATCTTATTTGTGTATCACTCATCCTCAAATCATCTCTGAATTGGTGCTGACACTGTCCTTCCTTCTGGAGGGTGGCTACTTTTGTTCCCCATGGTCCCTGTGTGTGTTGTAAAGTAGCCACCTCTCTAAGCTCACTCCCATGATGAACTACAATCTCACATTTACGGGGTTATTCACAAAAGGGAGAAGAGTTTGGAGAAGGCAGGAGAAGTGAACCATCTAGGACAACATAGCTGAACTGGAAAGTAAGCTGAATTGGAGAATTTTTCCTAATCAGCTACGTTGTCCCAGATTGTTCCCTTCTCCTGTCTTCTCCAAACTCTTCACCCTTTTGTGAATAATCCTGATAGTTTACTAATTTGTATTGAGCTTGTAGTCCATCACAGGAGTGAGCTTGGAGCGGTGGATACTCTACAACTCACACAGGGCCATGGGGAACAAAAGTAGCCACCCTCCAGAAGGAAGGACAGTGTCGGCACCAATTCAGAGATGATTTGAGGATCTACTGCCGAGTGATACCCTAATAACAAAAATGTATCTGAGTTGTGTATTTGAATGCATTTTAAGATTTAACGCCTGAGTTTTCTCTTTAAGGTACATGCACTTTCTGCATTGTTTGCTCGATAGTATTAGTGTCATGGTATAATTTACTCTATTCCTTCGCTGTGAGAAGCTGATGAGATAATGGATGCAACATACAAGAAATGCAGCTTATTATTGAAGTAGATAATTGTAA